GGCTGTCCATCCGCTCTCCACGACCCCGGGCCGCCTCTCCCGCCGCCCGGCGCGACTCTGTCGCCCCCTGCGGTCTCCGGGCTGTGCCTCTCCACTCCCAGAGCCTGAAGTTCCTGGTCTGCAGTGTGTGTGGGCCTGGCCGCCTCTCCCGAGGTGCCGCCAGCATCCTGCCTCGTCCGCCCGGCCCATGAGTGGGCTTGGAAGGCTCAGGAACAGAGCTGATGTCCGGGCAGCCAGGGGGACCTCTCGGAGGAGGAGACCGTGCTCCTAGGAGCTGCCTGGCTTCTTTCCTCCTGAAGTCACCTCCAAGGCTGAGCGTGAGGACCACCGTGCAGGGCTGGGCTTGGCAGCGTGGAGCCCAGTCAGACCTAGGCTGGGTGCTGGGAGTCAAGGCTCTGCAGAGCGTTCGAAAGGAGCCCAGTACTGAGGGAAGAGCAGCTTCCAGGGGCCGTCTGGGACAAGCCCTCACAGAGGTCGGATGGAGGTGGCCTCTGAGAGAAAGGATTTCATTCCTGGCCCATCCTGGCGTTTGAGGCTGGCCCTTCTACCGAGCTGCTCTGGTTACCTCGCTTGGATTTGCTCCCATGGCCTCCTCTTTCTCTGGTGGAACTGTGTCCTCTAACTGAAGTCCTGGGTCTGCCTGCTGGCCTGGTCCACCCTCTGCAGAGCTCCAGACCCAGATGCCAACCACAGCCAGGCTTGCCACAGACTAGGAAAAGCGCACAGGCCCCAGACTGGACGGACTGGACTCCTTGGCTAGTCTCTGCCCCCTGCTTCCTCCTTCCAGACCCTGGCTTCTACCTGCCGGGCCCTCGCTCTGAATGCTGAACTCACCCTTGTTCTCTCTTTCGCTCTCAGTCCTTCAGGTGACAGATATATGTGGAGTTCCCCCCAGACCCTCGGCTAGTGGTTTGCTCACAGGGGCTCAGTTCTGCCCTTTCTGCTTTGGTGAGGCTCGGTCAAGTGCCTGGGGACCTCTGGACTTTGCTTCTGCAGCTGGCACTGCCATTAACACTGAGGCTGGAGCCCCTAGGACAGGGCTCCCCTCGGCCACAGGTGCGGACTGGACTACAGGAGCTCCCTGTAGCCAGATAAGTGTGAAAGCTCCTTGCTGCTGTGCTGAGGCCCCCAAATACACACATCTGGAGCCTAGGGCATTGCAGACTCCTCACAGGGAACTGTGAGCATCCTGCGTGGACATCCAGCTTCTAAGGCCACCAGTGCAAAAGCATCCTTGGGACAAGCTAAGGCTGTTAAGAAAACGTGTGCACATTTTGTTTGTCCATTCAGGCTGTTTCTATGTGGTGAACTCAGAATCCTTAGTTAACGAAATACCTTACAGATAAGATAGATGTTCACAGCCTCTTTTGAGGCTGGCTTTGTATTTGATCACCCTTACCTGTGGGTAGGCCATCCTGAGAAGGTGTAGGTGGCATGAGCTGGCAAGGATTTGGGCTGAGAACTGGGAAGAGAAAGCTGGCACATGAGAGCCAAGTGGACTTCTTGGAGGAGGTGACTGCCCTGCTAGGCGCTGCCAGTTCGCCTCTCTCCTCCTGAAGGCTAGAGAATGGAAACACTCTGCAGAATACATCCCCAGGGTTGGGTGTCAGGACCAACCCCACGGGCCGGGTGTGGTGGGTATGAAGATGCCCCCAAGTAGGTGGTGATGAGATGTTCTGGTTCAGGCCTGCTGAGGTCCTGGGAATGTTGCCCACCTGCCTCTCCCGTTTAGGAACACTGCTTCTTCCTACTAGTCATCCTCTGCCCTGACCAACAATCTGTAGGATGCTGGGCCTCAAGGAGGCCGACGGAGGGTGACTGAATTCTAAATAGCACCAGGGGGCTCAGATGAGCCAGGATTTTGGTCTCTATCCTTGCTTCAAGCCACCTACTCTGCAGTCCCCACCAAGCAGGTCAGGAAAGGCAAGCAACCCCATAGATCACCAGGAGCCCCAGACGCCCAGGCGTCAGAGCTGCCCTAACCCCGACTCGGGCACACCCGCCAGCCCTTCCCCGTGCTCCCTGCTGCCCTGGGGAGGTGTCAGTTTTCAGCCGGTAGTGCTATGCCTTCCTGCCCCACTTGTTCCTAATAATGGATGAGCAACCTGGTCAGTGTCCACAGTGGCCAGCACCTCCCCCGTGCTGCCTCCTTCCCCAGAGGAGACTGAGAGGGAGGACAGAAGCTAAGGAACACTCTTTCTTCCCTACCAAGGCCATCCCTAACCTACTCCCTGCAAGTCTGTTCCTTCCCTTGCCATCCAGCAAATATTTATTTAACATCAACTGACTGCATGCCAGGCCCTGTGCCAGGCACTGCATGGCAAACAGAGCAGAGCTTGTCCTCAGGAAGCTCAGGGTGGGATGGGAAGAGGGAGTGACAGGCACACAGACAGCTGCAGGCAGGGTGATGAGTGACATGGTGGCAGAAGCACTGAGGATCCAAAAGGTCAGGAGATCCTCCAGCCGAGTCCTATAGGAGGAGTGGCAGAAGCAGGCCACCAGGGCTCCGGTGTCACCAGGTCGAATTGCTCAGGAGTCTGCCAATAGTTTGTGCGGAGGCAGGAGTCTGATCCTTACTGGAACATTCTGGCATTGTGGGAGGGGCACGGCAAACTGGCTTTCTGCAGGAAACCTATTCTGTTTGTTTGGCTTTTTTTTTTTTTCTGGTGCCAGGAATCGAACTTAGTGCCTTGCTCTTGCCAGGCAGGCACAGTGCCACTTAGCTACATCCCCAGCCAGGAAATCTAGTCTGGCTGTGTAAACTTGGAGGCATTCCCAGATCCCAGCCAGGGTTCTGGCCCTTACCAGCTGTGTGCCCTGGGGCACATCATTTCCTTCTCAGAACCTTAGGGCCTTCTATAAAATGCAGACAGCTGTTGTGGGGATCAAGATGAATAATTATAGGAAGCCCCTAGAACATAACCAAAGTGGGAGGCTGTGAAGCTGGTCCCCAGCCCTTCTTGGCTCCTCTGGTCTCAGAACCTTCTGGATCATTGTTTATCAGGGAAGGACCACACGGAGGAGCTCGAAGAGTAGCCAGGAGGCAGCCTGGGTGGTGGGGTTGGAGTGTGGGTACGATTTCAGCCCCGCCATGGATACCGGGATGAAGTCCATAGGAGGGACGCCCCAGGCAGGCGTGGGCTGGCTGCCAGCTCCTCTCTCCATGAGCTCCTTGAGTAGCTCTCTGGGACTGCTGCTTCTGCCTCTGTCTTCGAAGCCAGGGTTGCTCTTTCAGCATGATGGGAGGCGGACGGGTCTCAGGCTGTCCTAAATCTGAACTTCCTAGGAGCTCCTCACCCACCACGCCACCTTCTGTTTCCCCAGGGCCCACGGAGCCAGCCGGGTCCAGCCTGCGTCCTCACGGCCATGGAGGCTCTGGGTCCTGGCGGCGAGCGCACCTCCCCCAGAAGCCTACACTTGCGGCAGCCGTCCACGCGCG